TTTTTTATTTGTATATCATCTTCCTAAAATGTTTTTCACCTTCTGTGAATCATTGATCTGTGTGTGTGTGTACTATACTGTACAGTAATTTTAGATTCAATTCTAAAGGGTTTTGACGACAGTAGTTTACACTTAAACTTATTTGTTGTCAGGACTTTTTCCATCATCTGTTTTTAAAATTCACGACGTTTTGGAGGCTGGATCTGTCTCCGTGTTCAGGTGAGAGGTACCTACTCTGTTGGATCCCTTAGAAAGAGCTAGTCTGTCACAGACAAAGGAAAAAGTCCTGACAACAAATAATTTTAAGAGTAATTTTAGAGTCAGTTATTTTTGGTATAATTTTAGGAATCACTCTCCTGGAACAGAATTGCAGAGACAGGTGATGGCTAATCATGAAGATCTTCTTTCACAAGCAACATGGGTTGAAAAATTTGATGTACTACTTGCTGTTATGCAGACAGATGTCCAGGTAATAAATTAATTTAGAAAACCTATTCAATGAGTGGTCCTACATTCTCCATCACATCAGTTCTATTACAGAAATGTCAGTCCATATTGTGTATTATTAACAAAGCACAAGAGTAGATGTGGACTCAGCAGTAATTGCTTGTGGTTGTAGGAAGGAAAGAGGGTTCTACACCTGCTGTTGATTTGTTCCTTACCTAAGAATATTATGTAGTATGCAATATTCACCATTTATTAATAAATTAAAAGTCATTATAAATAAATTAATTACAGATGGCAGTATGTATTAACTTATGTACTATATCCTGCATAAGCTACAGCAGATGTAGTAAGTGTTTGCATTTTCATAAATCTGCTAGTAACAAAATCCTCCTTCACGTCTGTGAAAGATCTCGTCTCATTTTGTTCCTTGCCGATAATAGATACTACATAATATTAATTTTTTGCAGCATTTGCATGGAACGTATCATAGTAAGATTCCTGTATGTGTACGTGTATTAAACTATAATACATGCAGTAAATAGAATGTATTTTAAGTTACAAGGGTACATGTTATTTTCCACTTTCCAAGAAAAATTAGAGCAAAAGAAAATGATCTCTATAATATTGTTAATGTGATGGTATGTACATTGAAGTACCAGGCTGTGAAGGAATGATGTTCATGATAATTGCAACATAGTTTGGCTTAGGTTGGGTTTGTAGTAGGTTGTGTGAGATAGTTGGGTCAAAGTTTGGAAATTGAAAATTTAGAAATTAAACAATTTCGAAAATTGAAAAAATACTGGTCAACATTAACGATTTTAAAAAATAAATTCCAAAATGGGCATTGTCTGTAACAATTAGAAATATTTGGAAATCTTCAAAATTAAAAATCGAATATATCAAGCAATATTGTAGAATTTTAAAAGTTTCGAAAATTCCCTAAAGGAGCTCATGAAGTTAAAATTTCCAACACATCTCGTTAAGAATAGTTAGGTTCCGTTGGGTTGGGGTAGGTTGTGTTAGGATAAAGCACCAACCAACGAAAAAGCTAACTAAGGGCGGAGTCCTGCGCAAGCGTAAGACATCGTCCCTTCCTAGGTATAGGTTGCCGACGTGTGCGACCCTGTCAGTTTAGACGCAGACATGTTAGTTGGTATGCAGACTTCTGTTGTGGACACAGAAGAAATCATTAATTTATTTATATGCTTTTATTTTACACTTCATTTAGAAATTACAACCATCACAATCTTCGTCATGGAAAATATAAATATATGAATATTTTTTAGTTTTACACGCTCATAGCTGCCGTGTTTCAAGGAAGAATTGATTGATGAGATTTACGTGTTAGTACTGAAAACGTACGACTCCATGTTGCTTACGTCACTGGAAACATGTCCTACTACACTGAAATCACTGTTTGAAGCACATGGTACTTTCCGACGTAGCGCAGCATATTAGAGTTTCCGAAGATCTGTTTTCTTTGATCTCCTCGTGTCATTAATAGGGTCCTCCAAAATCGTATAGTTCGAAACGAATAATAGTAGCAAACTTTCATTCACGAACTGAAAACCGCTCAGCTCCATGGGAAAATCAATACTGACAGACGACGACGTGCAGCCCTGGCATTTAAAACGTGATGCGCGCGGGTATGTAGAGGTCGTTGCAATCGAGCATCGAAAGCTATAGTTCTATGCTCGATCCGGTAGGTTGCGTCAGTGTTTGAGTTCTGCATGTCCTTGGGTATCTACGTAGAAGATTGTTCGATATACGAAGCTCGCTATCTCGTTGTTCTGGATAGGAATGTCGTTTTACGTACGTCGTGGTCCACGCTTGCCAACTGTCGTAAATAATTTCTGACAAATTTCGAATTTAGAATCTCAGATATGGCATTAAATTGCTGAAGGGACCTAAATTCATTCAGTTACGTGTATTTTGAGCATGTGTATTTAGATGTGATTTATTCTATGCGCCAAACATCACGTGCGAGTGTGCCGCGCTCTTGCTTTGAAGAACTCACTCTCTGACTTATCACCTTAAATATTGTTTTGGTTTAATTCTGTAAATTTGGGCGTCTCGTTGGGTATTTCCGCGCATGTAGACCCTACTAAGTAAATATGGGCAAACGTGTGTATGCATAAATAAAGCACACTTGAAGTGGTCGTGGCCGATTTGACGGTGATCCATCTCGCGACTTTGGTGTCTCCGAGCGGCTTTACTACAATATTTATGACATAATGGAGTACGAATTTTATTAACTTACACGTGGCATGACGTCCATTCAAAATTTAAGGTATTTCTGACCATCCTTTCAATATTCGTAAAATTGGTGCGCAGGACGCCGATTTCTGATGACTCAGCATACCCCGTCCTGAATGGGTTAGGTGAATTTAGGTTAGTGGATATATGCGCAGAAGGAGCTGCGCTTTGGCGTCAAGGAAGGTGTCCCAGAGTGGTCACCGTGTGATTGTGATTATTTATTGCGTAAATTTAAAATACTCTTTTATCTGAATCCTTCAAAATTCGAAATTAATGTAGTGGGAACTTCACTTGCAATTTTACTTGTTATAGGGACATAAGTAATTTGCACTGGTTACCTGTTGACGTCGTGAACGACCCTGTCAGTTTAGACGCAGACGTGTTGGTTGGTATGCAGGCCTCCGTTGTCGACACAGAAAGAATCATGAATTTATTTATATGCTTTTATTTTACACTTCGTTCAGAAATTACAATCATCATATTCCTTGTCATGGAAAATATAATACATATAATATAATATACATATTTCACTTCCGGGGCTGACATCAGTCTGACGTGTTTGGAAGCTCCATTAGAGTTCGTGAGCTCTGCTGTCTGCCAATCGCTACCTGACTGCAACAGCGCGCCATCACCAGTCTTATTCGGAAAGACTTTTTACACATGCTACCATCTGTGCGCTACATTCAATGCGTACAAACAATTGCATAATTTTCGAAATCGCTTTTGAACTTTGCAATTCATATTGCATGTTAAATTGTTGTTTTCCTTACTTTCCGTCACTTGAATGTGTTAGGATTCAATTGTAACCCCTTTATTTACGTATGGTGAATTCTGTGCGCGAATGCTTACGTATGAAGCTACAACACGCTTAGATAACCATAGTCACTATCGGTTTGTTCACCATAAAAATCTTTCTGCACTCATTTTGTGCATTTATTAGTCTTATGACGTATCTGTGCACGTATAGGCTCTAGTTAGAAAATATAAACAAACGTCTTTGTGCATAATTCCTTGTTGATAAAATCGGATCTTGGTGATCGTTGCCGATTTCTCGCTTCTTCCACCTCGCGAATTTGATGCCTTCGTGTGAATTTATTACAAGTGTTGTGACACGAAAGAGTATAAATTTTTATTACTTACCTGTTTCACGACGTCCATACAAAATTTCAGCAATTTCCAACCATCCATTGACTATTTCGAAAATTCGTGAGCAGGTCGCCATGTTCAGCTGACGCAGATTACCCCTGTTGGGTTGCGGTAGGTCAGTTAGGTTAGGTTAATGGGGCATCTGCGCGGAAGATTATGCGCAGTGACGTGATGCAAGATGTCTATGTTAAGGCATCGTAGGAGTTCTATTATCGATTTCGGGATCTTGAACGCTCAAATATTTCAATGCTCTCAAATTATAGGACAATCTTGTGTTTGAGTCACTACCATAGCTTTACGCTTCAAAGTTGTTACATTTGTTACCTTCTTGTTGACCTCGAAAGACTCTTGGCTCAGGTCACTGATGATTGTTTTTACGCAATTGTGGGTGTTGAATTGAATTAGTGGTTTGCTTACGCTTAAGAATTGTTAGTACAGATGTGAAAATTTTATTTTAAAATGTATCCAGATATTACAAAGATCCGGTTTGTCACAAATATATATGTATACATATGCACAGAAAATTCACATTTAGACAGTCCAACTACTACAAATCAGGTAACTTGGAATTTATATGGCTGTCACTATAGGAATCACAAGCCTTTTTGTGCACACGTGTAATGTCGAAAGTTAATTCACGGAGATTAATGCCACATTTCGGCAATTCACACGAACACGTACATCAGATCGTTAGTGTAATGTTCTACTTGTCTCCATCTTGCATACGTCACTGGATGGAGAACGTCCACTCGTCTTCACTGTACGAAGCACTCTTAGTTTAATATATGTCGTAGGAAATAAATGTTGCTAAGTATCCCGATGAACATATTTGTTTGAGTACCGATGTATGAAAGCTTGATCTTAAGATGTTGAATAATTCCAAGGCTAACATTGAATCACGGAGACTGCACTGCCTCTCGACATAACTCAATAGCGACTGACTTTCACTTCCGGGGCTGACATCTATCTAACGTATTTGAAAGCTCATGTAGAGGACTGTCCAATCAAATCGAACCACGTAATTTTCTGTTTCAAGTTATCTCCGTTAGAGTTCGTGAGTTTGTTTACTCTGATGTGGGCCAATCGCTACGTAGACGAGTTATTGAAATACCTGACTGCAAAGTACCCATCATCGGTCTAATTCGTTAAGTCTTTCTACATGATGCCATCTGTACGCTATATCCAATGCATACTAACAGCTACATTATTTTCGAAAAGGATTTTGATCTTTGCAATATATATTGCATATTTTGCTTTTTGTGTTTCTTAATTTCCGTCACTTTGATGTGTTGCATTCAATAGTAACCCACTTTATTTACGTATGGTGAAATCTGTGCGCGAATCCTTACGTATGATGCTACAACGCGCCAGGGTAACCGTAGTCACTATCTGTATCTTCGCCATAAAATTCTTTCTGTACTCATATTGTACATTTGTTAGTCTTAAAACGTATCTTTGCACGAATAGGAACCACTTAGAAAATATGAAGGAACGTCTTTGTGCATAATTCTTTGCTGATAGCGTTGGATGTTGGTGATCGTGGCCGATTTCGCGTATCTTCCACCTCGCGACTTTGATGCCTTCGTGTGAATTTATTACAAGTGTTGTGACACGACAGAGTATAAATTTTTATTGCTTACTTGTGGCACGATGTCCATACAAATTTTCATCAATTTCCTTCCACCCATTGTCTATTTCGAAAATTCGTGCACATCACGCCATGTTCAGCTGACGCTGATTACGCCTGTTGGGTTGTGTTAGGTTAGGTTAATGGGGCTCCTGCGCAGTGACGTGAAGCAAGATGTTATGGCATCGTATGAATTCAAATATCGATTGCTGGAAATTAAACACTCAAATATGTCAATGTTCTTAATTTTTTTTAACAATCTTGTGTTTGAGTGCGATGTGCTAGACTAAGAGTGATACCCTGGTCCTCCAGGTTGGGGGTTGGGCATAAGGCTGACAACCTTTCACGCAGCAAGCAGCCAAGAGGAGAAAGACAAGTGGCTGGAAGATCTCACAGCTACAATACAGACTGCCCGAGAGAAAGGAGATAATAAACTTCAATACCTCAGTCTGAAGTCATGCAGTGAGTAGTCATTTGTTTAATGGTGTGTTGGTGCACTCTGCCAACAAACACCACGAAGAATAAAATGTACTAAACTGTTAATTCTGTTTAGTTCTGGTCCTCATGTTCTTGCGGTTATAGCTTGATGTGTAACTTTGGGTTTTGTAGTTCAGAAGCAGTATATGTGGAAGGTGTTCCAACATTAATTCAAACAATTTATTTCAACCCATGATGTGAATAAATCTTGTATTTCACATAATTTTTATCTTTGATATTGACCTGTTTTTACCTCTCTAATTTCCACACCGTGATGTTCATAAATACACTTGGACTTCCCCAGATGGCAGAACACACAATCAAATAGATCATGTTTTAGTAGATAAGAGAAGGCAGACAAATGTAATTGATGTGAGATCATTCAGAGGAGCAGATTGCGACACTGATCATTATCTGGTGGTAGCAAAAGTGAGGGAGCGGCTTTCAGTAAGTAGACGAACTAAACAAAATTTTGACACAGAAAGATTTGATTTGAAAAAATTAAGTGAGGGAGAGGCGAAGGAACAATATCAAGTTGAAATTTCGAATAGGTTTCAAATTTTAGAGACGGATGAAGATAATGAAAGTGTGGACATCAACAGGGAGTGGGAAAATGTTAGAAAGCATTACAGCACATAAAATAATCAAATATGATGCCCCAAGGAATCTTTCATTATACAATATCTTGCTTCCAGAGAAACTCTCGTTTATATGCTGGACCTTCATTACAGCTTTGAGAGCAAGTATAAATTGCCAGTGTTCCCCAATCCACACTCTTCTCTGTGCTGTCAAGTCCCAGATAATTCAGCAGTTGAGGCAGAATCTACAAAGGATTCACATATAAAAGCTCATTATAATGTAATTTCATTAACACAGTTTATGATTTTATGGGCATAATCTGACACTGAAAAGTGCAGATGTTTATATATAAAGCATCACACTGTCATAGGTACAGAGGTTACTGAAATGATGTCTCCAATTGACCACTGACATAATACAATAAAATTACTGTAACAACTGCTAATACAACATAATGTAGAATTTTTGGTAATATATTTCATTCCTGATGTCTCTTATATGTAAACAATTCATTATTATGACATTAAACTTTATGAAAGTTTTTGTTTAATACCAACTTTATAAAGAATCTGAAAAAGCTTTACTTTATAACCAGTAACTTTTTTCACTTTCTGGTTCCTTTGGTGTCTACATATTTACTTGTGAATGCTTAATGAAGGAGATTGATATGTCATATGTATGAATTAATTATGTTGTGAATAAATATATTTGAGACATGGCAGTAGTAATTAGGTTTATATGAATACTATGTATTTGTACTGTGCAGTGAGACCATATGAGACTGGTCCTTGGAAAATTTCCTACTGTTTACTAGTCTGTGAATCAGAGGGTCAAAAACCACAGCTATACTGCACACAAAATAGAGAAACACTACACAGTTTTCATATAGTTAGTCTATACTGGTCTGCCTTCTTTTCTTAAAATTATGGCTAAGTACGAGGGTCGCTCATTAAATAATGCCCCACATTTTTTTTCTCAGCCAATAATGAATATAGAAAAGTGTACTTTTACATGCTTGAGATTTTATGTTTCCCGCATTCGTGTACGGAGTTTCAAATGATTCCAACCGATGGCGGAGCTGTAGTGAACTGTTAAAATGGCGTCTGTGAACGACTCTCGTTACAAGCGACGAGCTGTAATTGAATTCTTTGTTGCTGAAAAAGAAACGGTGGTGAACATTCATAAACGTTTGTGTGCTGTGTATGGAAGCTGTGCAGTCGATAGGAGCACCGTTGGTCGCTGGGCTAAGAGAGTTAAAGCTTCAGGAAGTGAAGAAACCGAGCTCCGTGATCTGCCGCGCTCTGGGC